GCGACCCGGTCTGTATGTGGGCTCCGCGCCTTGGGCGGGAGCGCCCCCGCGCTCCCAAGCAGCGCACTGTAGCAGTGCGCCACCGGGCCGGCCCCCCCAAAATTATTTTAAATTTCATGGCACCACAGAATCACCTAGAATGGGAGTGTTGTCTTTCAACTTGCCTCACATTAAATAAATTGAGGTGTGAAGAGCAAGCCTCTCTCATAAAGAGGTAGGCAAATTTTGATACAAATGCACACATCAAGTGCTGTAAGAATCAAAATTCAGTTCTTTTACACTATGCATACAAACAAAACCCACTTTGAAACAATTTACTTGTTTTTAACAGCAGTATGAAAACTAAGCAATATTATGGTCAATGATGCTCCTTAAATTTTAGAATACTACATAAGAACATTTTTTCCCCTGTAAAGTTACTTCTGCCATCATTGACCTGCTCAAATTTTAAGGTGAGTTTTTCTGATGTTCGTGTGTTCCACATCTTCATAGAAACCAGAAAAAAAGCAGTGAATCCTCCATGTTTCAGTCAAAAGTTCAGTCTCCCTGAAAATGCTACGTAACCCAGCTGGCATCAAGACAGTTGGGTTGACAAAAGAACTATTCCACACTGCGTCATAAACTATTATCATGGGCCTACACATCAACAAGACTAAAAGGTCCACCCTGAACCTAAATGTGTCTGAGCAGTCAGTGTAATACCGTAGCTACAACTTCACTTTTGTATCAGTCTATCTTATTACCAAACTACGTTTTTAGGTTAATGGTTCTACCAGATATGGATATTAAAGTTTATTTTTAATAAGCCAGTGTTGCAAATTATGGTCAACCAACATCTTTTCAGCAAATACTTCAAGCATAAAAAATGAGAATCTTTAAGAAAATATACAGAGTTACCACAAATTGGTAGCTGCCCATAACGTCAAACAAACTGGACTCTTAAGAATGGCTTCTCAACAGCATATCATTTTAATTATAACCATTGCCTGNCATCTTTTCAGCAAATACTTCAAGCATAAAAAATGAGAATCTTTAAAAAAATATACAGAGACACCACAAATTGGTAGCTGCCCATAACGTCAAACAAACTGGACTCTTAAGAATGGCTTCTCAACAGCATATCATTTTAATTATAACAATTGCCTGGTACAGGAAAACTAACAAGTGTTTTTTAAGCATCATTGCAACATCGTATTCCTGATAATTTAGGTAAACCAAACTATGAGTAAATGAATGATGCATGCCTAAAAATTATCAGTGGCTACTGGACTTAGGACTAGTCCAAGACCTTGATCTAGATTTTGACCTAGACCTTGACTGAGATTTGGATCTAGGTGGTTCTTTTCTCCTTGATTCCTTTTCATATCTTGAGCCAGACTTACAATGTGTTTTGGAATCAGCATTAGTGGTGCCTCTAGTTTTGGTGTGAGAGGCAGACCTAGAATGTGATTTAGCCTTCATTTCTTTCTTGGACTGGGACTTTGGACTATGATCTTGAATTGGATTTAGAAAAAGATTGATTTCAGTGTTTGAATCTATTATTGTCAGAATGGCTTCTGCTATGCCATAGTCTTCCAGTCAGTCTACTGTTTCTAGGACTGTAAGATCTATAGTTGTAATCAAAAGACCAACTTCTTGACCTCCTTTCATAACTTCGGCTTCTAGAACATCTGTATCTGTCATAATCATCATAGCGTGAAGAACTGTACACATTTCTCCGTTCCTTGGCTTTCATCTGATTTTGTGTCTTCCAATCCCCCTGTGCAAACTGTGTTTCAATTTGACATCCACAAATCCATTTTCTGTCCAAATTATGTAAAGCATCTTCAGCATTGCAAACATCCTCAAATTGTACATAAGCAAATCCTCTTGGACGTCATGTGTAGAAATCAAGTGGAACATACACATCAACTGTAGGACCATAGTGACCAAATTCGTGCCATACATCTTCAGACCTGGTGTCATTGGCCACGTTCCTGAGGAAAAGAAACTTGTTGGGGGACCACAGATAGCAGGACATGACAGTGGCGAGGGTCTCAGCCAGGGGCACCAACGGGCTCTGCAAACTGTCCGCAGCTGCAGGGGTGGATACTGTTGAAACTCTATTTTTTAAAGATTGCCTTTTAAAAAAAATTTTTCATAAGAGTTCTATAGATTTCTATTAGTGATCACCCAATTTGGAGGAAAAGTTACCTTTTTATCTTTGTTTCTTCTACTTGACTGTGGTCATTAACCACTTTGATTTTGTGTTTTTGTTAACCCCACCAGAGACAATGTTCAGCACCTTTATGGTTGACAAAGTGTTAGGTAACAATTTTTTCCCCAAAATTTTAATAAAATTATCAGTTTTTATCTGAGTGAACTATAGCTTATTTGTGGCTGGTGTTGTTTTAATTACTAGTTGTATTCCTTTAATTATTAGTTGAGCAAATTTTATTTTAAAATTTAAGTTAGAAGCCTTTAGAATTAATTGAAATTTTTGAAAACTAAGTTATTTTTTAAGGCAAGTTATTCTGTATCCATATAGGAAAATTTCACTTGATGTTTGCCTTTTGGAAGTTTTGGGGTCTTTGGGGGGG